GAGCTGCTGTTCAGATCACAGGTCTGCTCTGCTTGCCTACAAACTCAAGACCTGCCTGAGTTGAGCATGGCACAGAACCTTGGGAGAAAGCCAGAGGCTGGACACTCTCCCACTCACCAGGACCACGGGAGGCTGATTGGGTCCCCAGTATAAGTCACAACAGCCTCAGGGCTACTTGAAATTACACTGGGCCTCAGGGGGCTGTTACACCACCAGAGATCCTCAGAGCACAGCACTGCTCTGGCCACAGCCTAACATGCCTAGTTTTAAAGTTGAAACACAATGTTCTTTCCCTGGAAGGACCTCCTCATAGATTGAGGTCCCCTGCACGGCTGAGGAACTTTGAGAGGCATTCTGCCTATCTGAATGGCTCCTGGACACCTGCTGGAGCACAGCAGCTCTGCACAGCCCCTTGCTAAGAGCTGTGGCTAAACGGCCCTCTACGAGGAAAGGCCTCACTGTTGATCAAAATGGCTTCGTCCCATCTTCTTATTGCTTTGCTGAAAGGTTTCAAAGAAAAATAACCCACCGCAGCATCTGGATAACTCAGTATGCTCCTTCCATTAGCAGGATCCAGTGTATTATACTCCCCTTTTATTGCTGGCAACTGGTCAGAAAGGAAAGCCCCCTGTGATGAGGGCCGTATTCTCTGAATTGACTGTGGATTTTCAGGATCTGCTACAGCCACAGGCCAGGCCCCTGTCCTCATTCACCCAACAGCTCTTCGCTAAGGGGTTGTTTGGAAGGGAATGCTATGAGTTCAAATTCAGTGTTCTGAATTCCTGTGGGTGTATGTGTGGGGAAATAGCTATCATGCAGCCCCATCTCTTGGAGTCTGTGTTCATCTTCACCCTTTTTCTGTCTCAGAAGCTCAGCAAATGAATTGCAAAAATTTGCAATTACCCTACTATTTCTCTATACAATCCACAACCACACCCACCACCAGTCATGTTGTCTGTCCAGTTTTTCTGGCCCTCGCTATTTCCTAGGCTTGGACTCCATCTGCTGCATGCTGCTAGGGAAACTTGTTGCTATTCAAGAACAGTTGGTTTGGATCCTCTCTCTTTCGCCCACTTCTTATCCCCCTAATGTTACACTTGAATTTAGCCCATGATGTAAGTGACTAACCTGGAAGCCCATGCTAAGTTTCTATTTGATTCTTATTAAGCAATAACTCTTGTTGAGTTGAATGGAAGCTTTGTCTGAGTAAGGACTGCAAGGTATAGCAATGTATTTCTGGCATGCTTCTCGCTTTGCATTAACATTTAAATAAGACCAACCTTTGCATCCACTGGAAGATGCCTTAATAACTCTGAATTTTGTAATTACTATTCACTGTTATGGGCCAGGTTCTTCTACTGGGCACGTGGAGTTAAAAGGAACACATGTTTGAAGGCAGATTTTGGTCTTAGACTAAAGAGGTTTGCCTAACGTTTTAGTGGAAAGTCCACAGCATATTATAATGGTAGGTTTCATTTCCTGGATTCTTAATACATTTTAGGAGGATTCTGTGACAGTTCCCCTAAAATCCATTTTTAAAATAGCTGCTCCCTCAAAGTTACCCATTTTAGCATCAAAGTTTTATGCAAATGTATTATTTCTGTTGCCATATTTCCCTTGGCCCAAAGCCTGAAGTCCGTAATAATTGAAAAGCTGGAGGACAATTCACTCACACAGGGAGAATTTAAAGGGACAGAATGCAGTTGTTCTAAATCTTTACTCCAGGATAAATGGAGTTTTGCCTGGATAAGGATTGCATGATTTCATCTGTAAGTCAATAGACTGTAGTTTGCTAATAATAAAATAAAATGTAAAGGTAACATGGAAAAAATTCCTAGCTGTAAGAACAGTAGGACAATGGAACAGACTGCCTACGGAGGTTGGGGGAAGCTTGTTCACTTCAGGTTTCTAAAGGAGGCCGAAGAGCCAACTCTCTTGGATGGTTTAGACCAGTGGTGGGCAACCTGCCGCCCACGGGCTTTCCACAGCTCCCAGTGGCTAGGAATGGAGAATTGCAGCCTGCGGACGGTCAATGTAAACAAACTGTCTCATGGCCCGCCAGCGGATTACCCTGATGGGCTGTAGGCTGCCCACCATTAGTTTATACACAACAAAATCCTACATCTTGGCAGGGGGTTAGACTAGATTACACCTGCGGTCCCTTCTAACCCTATAGTTCTATGTTGGTATAAAAGTGAAATGTCAGGTTTCAGAGGGGTAGCCATGTTAGTCTGTATCAGCAAAAACAACGAGGAGTCCTTGTGGTACCTTAGAGTAACAAATTTATTTGGGCATAAGCTTTTGTGGGATATAACCCACTTCATCAGATGCATGGAGTGGAAAATACAGTAGGCATGTGTAAATATACAGCACATGAAAAGATGGGAGTTGCTTTACCAAGTTGGGGGGGGGGGGGTCAGTCCAGACTTCCTTAAATACAGACATGGGATTACTCCTGTTTTGTATCATGTGCTTTAAGTCTTCCTTGTCTTATTTCTGTCTGTAGCATTCATTCTTCTGGTATGATTGATGGAAATAATTTAGTGATAGGATAGCACAAGGCAGTCCCATGTTTCTTCCATGTTGTGTGCCCACCACTGGTAAACAGTGTCTATGAAGTTCTGTGTGTGCTTTATTTTACTTGGAATTTAAGGGGAGATTTTCAGAAGGACCTGACTCCCTTAGACGCTTTTGAAAATCATACCCGTAAATTAAAATATTATAGATAAATATATGTAGATATGGCTAGTCTTTACTTCAGACATTTTGGATTTTGTGGGTGGAAGAATGTTAGGGAAAGAAAATATTTAAGAACTGTTTGTGTCGGTGACTGTGGGCAGCTAAGGTGATCATTTCTTGGCCTTATTAAGGCAGCAGAACTTTTAGAATCATTGCCTGGTTTCAAGAGATACACAGTGGTGCTGAAACAATTTGGATAGTGGGGGTACTGAGAGCCATTCAACCAAACTGTAAGGTACTGCACTTCCAGCACCTATGGAGATACATAACCAGAGCCGAGCTATAAGAGCAGTATACATTTACAGGCTACCGTACTGGAGGGATTTCATTTCAATAGCTTCCTCTAATCTGTAGGTCTGATTCTCCTTGCAACCAGTGTGTAAGAGGTTGGACTCACCCCTGCAGAACTTCCTGCTGGTTACTCCAGGGAATCAGCACAGTCCAGAGCATCCTCTGCAGGCCAGTGATCCACCTTGTCACTACTGGCTCCAGGTCTAGTCCAGTCCATCTGGGTCTCTCTAGTCATAATGGGTGTGGCGACAGGCTGGGTCCTAGCCTCTTGTGGGGTCCCCTCCATCCCAGTCACCGCCTCTGCCACATTTGGTCCCACCAGGCCTACAAGCACCTCCTCTTGTCGCCCCTCAGTCCCTCTGAGGGGGCAATGCCTCTTTAGATGGCCCAGTTCCCGGCAGCCCCAGCAGGCTTCCCGCCTCTGGGCTGCCCGGGACTTATTGTCCCTTTGGGGTCCTGTCCCCTTACCAGGACTGACATGGACCTCTTGTGTTGGGCCTGGGCATATCCTCCACACATGGCCCGATCGCCCACAGGCCCAACAAGTCAGCCACCACCTAGGTTGCTTCACCCGGCAAGCTGTTCTCAGGATCTCCCCTCGTCCCTGCTGGGGTTGCAGCCCCCTGCCCCTACCCCAATAGGGACAGTCTCATATCAGATGCCCCGCCCGTTTGCAGGCATAGCAAGTCCTGCACCCCTTCACAGGCCTCCTGGCATTGGCGCTCCACTTCCCATCCTGCCGGGACTAGGGCTCGCTGAGCCCTCGCCATCTGGGCCATCTGTCGATGGAGGGCTTGTTGCACCTCCCATCGTTCCTCCTGGGTCTCCCGGATTCCCTGTAGGACGTCAGCCCCCTTCCTCAGGGATGCGGACACCGGGACCCACCCAGGGACAACGCCTGGGGTCTCCCCATAATATACCCCAGTGTACCTGGGATCCATCATCCCCTGTGTCTTTCCAAGTCTGGGCAATAGTCCCGCTGTCCTTTCTCTAGCCCTTTGTGTCAGGTGCGGACCACACTACCCGCATTCTCCACCACTAATGTAAGAGGTCGGACTCACCCCTGCAGCGCCTCCTGCTGGTTACTCCGGGGAATCAGCTCAATCCAGCCCAGAGCACCCTCTGCAGGCCGGTGATCCACCTTGTCACTACTGGCTCCCGTATCCTTCCCAGGACCCCGGTGCCCCTGGCTCTGGGTGCTGCCCCCTGGCAGTACCCACACTCGCTGGGTCTCCTCTCCCAGGGGAACTCCCACCCACTAACCCCACCTTGCCTCAGTGTAAGGCTACTGCCAGTCACCATCTAGCCCCACTCCCTGGGGCAGACTGCAGTATCAGCCACTCATCACAGGCAAGGTTGGGTTTGGACCTGCTGCCTTGGCCTACCTCTGGGCTGCCCTCTGCAACCCCCAGTACCTTTGGCCCAGTGCTAGGCCACAGCCTGGGGCTTTCCAGGCTGAAGCTCCCCAGCCCTGCTCCACTCAAGTACCCTGTCTCAAGCTCCCTGCAGCCAGGCCCTTCTCTCTCTGAGTGCAGAGAGGGACTGCTGAGCTCCTGGCTCTCAGCCGCTTTATACAGGCCAGCTGGGGCCTGATTGGAGCGTGGCCCAGCTGCGGCTGTTTCCCCAATCAGCCCAAGTCTTTCCTTCCACAGCCCCAGCCCTCTGCAGGGCTGGCTTTAACCCTTCCCAGGCAGGAGCGGGTGTCCATCCCGCTACACAGTGCAACTCTATTGACTGGAACGGAGTTAGTCCTGATTGACATCAGTGTATGCGTCAGTTCAGTCAGGCCTTATACTCCTAAATGCAGCTTTGCAATAATAATGTGTTAGGCTAAAACATTATCTAATTATTCAGTTATTCATACTGATGCATGGTGTGAGAATCCATAGAGGGCCACTTTCTGATTATTCAGGTTTGGTAGCTTGGTATATACATACAACTCCTCCCAGACTCTTTATTATGTGTTCGTCATGGAGAAAGAGAACACTGTCTCTGTGATGTCATCTCAGAATTGCCCCACAATTCCCAAGGCGGTGTGTTTGCTAGAGCATAAACTCAGCAAAAGGGAAAAGCTGAACATGTGGGCATGAAGATCTCTTGACTGATTTTCCGTTTATGGATATAGATTGGAGGCTGGGTTTATAAACATAATAATTAGTGATTGTTTAAAGAAATAAAAATAGGCACTTTGACGCTCAGAGATTTCTTGTGACTTGTGAGATATCCCCTTTTTTCAGTCCCGGGACTCACCTGAGCACATAGAGTTTAGTCGGGTGCAATAAGTTGTGGGATTTTTGCCACGCTGTGTGAAATATTTGTAGGATATCCTGAAGATGCTTACAGAAGCCCTTGGAGAATAATCTTTTGCTAGCAAATCAGAGATGAAAAAAGCCAATTAAGAGTTGGTGTGGATGAAGAATTATAAGAAAATGACAGTGTACCAAACATAACTAAGAAGAAAAAAGTTACCAGCCACTTCCATGAAGACCGTAGGTGTATTAATATTCTTTGCAATATTTTTAGTGGTGAAATATTCCTGCATGTCTTTATGTATAATAGTAATATGATACCTGGAACTTAGGTCGCTCCAAAGAGTAGTGATGAACCTAATTAGTCTGTTTTTCAAATGAAAGCAGAGGTGCAAACTAGAGTTGGGCCCAAAGTGAAGCCTTAAATCCGAATCACTTCATGTCCCTGGGTCCATGGTTTTAGTTCCAGAGAAGATTCAAAACCAGAATGGCTTTTTTTTTCCCCTAGTGTTTTTTTTTTCTTTCAGATTCTGTCCAAATATCAAAATACCAAATTTTGCAGAACTCTTGCAAGAATGACTGAATTGGCACGATTTCCGAGATGTTAGAAATCTCATTCAATCTGCTCCTGTGTGAGAGTTCCCATCATTTTGGGCTGGAATCTCACAAGGGCAGCTCATGATGTAAGGGGCTGTATTTGAACTCAAACCCGTATCCTAACCTAAAAGGTAAACATTTTAAACCAGAACCAGACATAAACACCATCTCTTCAGCCCATCCCTTTTGTACAAAGCAGGCCAGAGGTCTGTAAACATTGGCAGTCAAGCGGGGGGGTGAGACGGTTTCTTTCTGAAGCTCAGCTGCTGGTTCGGGAAACATTAAGTTTCTTATCTTGTGCCACTAAGCAGTGCCTGAGAAGCAGATGAGCTGATTTGGAATTTAAACTTACCGGGTAATTAAAAAGCTAAATGGGACACTATTTAAGGACTCCAAATTCAGTTCCTTAAGTAGGTGGAAAAGTTTAAAGTAACCTGGGGAGAAGCTGCAAATTTTAGCTGTCCTTGCATTTAAAGTCTTTAGTATTTTTTAAGTTAAAAAACCCTGTCAGTTTAAAATTGATAAAGGAACAACAGTAAAAATTACCTGTTTTTCCTTCACCTTCTCTATATAAAGGACATGTAGATGTCATTGTGTTCCCCGCTGATAAAATCCTAGTTCATGTACTTTTGAAAGCTGAGTCAGATCTGAGATGTCTCCAGAATGGCCAAATTAGCCAAACAAAATGTGATTTTGGACAAATGAGGGCCCGAGTTTCAAAATGCAGAACAGTGTGTCCAGTTGCATGCTGAATTCACAAATGAAATTATTGCAATTGCACATGCAGTTCATATACACACACACACATGCTCAATTACACATCAAAGTGGTCATTATAAAACACAAATATCAGAGCTGTGCATGCAGTCACAGTAATTGTGCATATAAGTTAAGTGTATAGTGGTTTGCACATCTCAGTGTGCAAATGTACATGTACCTTTCTGAAAGTCAGACCCCCAGTGTCTAGATCTGTAGTCTAACATGGAATGATTTCCATTCTGTGCACTTCACTTATCTTCTTGTTTCCACGCTACAGCTACGGGAAATAGAAGAGGAGGAGGAATTGGAAGAACTAAGTCAGGGTGTGAACAGAGCCAGGCAGGCAAATCATACAGTACTGAAAAAACATTCTTTTTATGATGGTGGGCAAGAAAAAAATGGGATCCTACCATGGAACACTGCAGAGGAGACAGGGGAATGGTCAAGAAAAAATGAGGTACTACATACTATGCTTCTTATTTTAGAAGTGTGACTCCCTTACAGTCCATCCAGCCTACAGTAGTTAGAACACTGTTCTTCACTTAACAATCAGACCACATCACTCCTCTGGCCTCCTGTAGCAGACCACTGCTCACTGGCACGGCACCTCCTGCTGGTTGCCTCGGGAATTAGCTCAATTCCAGCCCTCAGAGCGCCCCCTGCTGGGCAGTGTCTTGCCTGCCTCAGGCCCCCATGTCCCTCCCAGACCCCTTTGCCCCTTACCTCAGGGTTCTGCCCCCAGCAGTCCCCACACTCTGGGTCTCCCCTTCCAAGGGAACCCTCTCCCCCTATGCCCACCTTTCCTCAGTGGCTACTGCCAGTCATCATCTAGCCCCCTCTCACTGGAGCAAACAGAAATCTATAATGGCCACTCATCACTGGCAAGGGGGTAGGGCCAGCTGCCTCTGCCTATCCCTGGGCTACACCTCTTCCGCTTTGGTACCTCTTTAGGCCTTAAACAAGGCCTCAGCCTGGGGAGTTGCCAGGCTGGAAATTCCCAGCTCCTCTTGCCTTTCTCCAGCACTGCTCTGAGTCAGGTACCCTCTGTTCCCAGGCAGGTAGGCCCTTCTCCCTCCAAGGCTGGAGAGAGACTCTGACTCAGCTCCTCCCTTAGCCCTTTTATCAGGGCCTGCTGTGGCCTGATTAGGTGTGGCCACAGCTGTGGCCACTTCCCCAATCAGCCTACCCTTTCTCCCAGGAGCGGGGTGACTGCCCTGCTATATCCCATTTCTATCAAGTTTAACATTCCAGGTCCCGCACAATTTCACCCTTTTTGGTTTTCAGCCATGTCCTCCTTACCTTTCTTCTCTGCTTTAGTTGCCAGCTTCAGCAACCAATGTTCTTTCCTTCTCCTATTCCCTGTTAGTTCACTGGGATTGGGGAGTCATTCCATGCATTTGGAAAGCATGGAAGAAAATAACTAACTGCAACCCTATCTTCATTCAGATCTCTTTTAAAGACTTATTTCTTGCATGAAAAACTAGTCACATCAGTCATGCCCCTTTAAAAAAACGTGTCCTTGTTGAACCTCATCAGATTTCATTTGGCCCAGTCCTCCAATTTGTTTAGGTCACTCTGGACCCTATCCTTACCCTCCAGCATATCTACCTCTCCCCCCAGCTTAGTGTCATCCACGGACTTGCTGAGGGTGCAATCCATGCCTTCATCCAGATCATTAATGAAGATGTAGAACAAAACCGGCCCCAGGACCGCACTCCGCTTGATACCGGCTGCCAACTAGACATCGAGCCATTGATCACTACCTGGTGAACCCGACAATCTAGCCAGTCTACGGATTTGGTCTATATCTCTATATATGATCGATGATGAATTAGGCCATACATAGATAATTATAGATGATAGCTATAGATGGTAGATTATGCCAGTTGTAATTAATAAGGTCTCACCTGTGCTTACAAACCTGTCAGTTTATTGATAATATATATGTTTCTTTCAGTCAGTGCAACAAAGTTTGGAGGGAAACCTTGAAACCATATTGCCATTTTACCGTTCAGAAGCCTCCAACTTCTTTCTGCTGTTAATTGAAGACAGTGTTGAGGACTTTGATACTGAGCTCTCGCTTTTCAATGAACTGTCAAACTCAAGTGACTTGGTTTCCTATCCTCAATATTTACCATATTACAGAACACATGAGGAATTTTTTATCAACCCTGTGTCACTGGACACATTACTTATCAGAGCAGACGTGGACGAAGGTGACATAGGAAGAGAAAAAAGAGAAGGAAGTGGTGGCTGCAAAGTTAACAGTATAAGAGAAGATGAGACCCTGAGCAACTTAGTTATTTCCACTGGATATTTTCCATATTATAGATCATATGAAGAGCACTTTGGCAGTCCAGTTTTACATGATGGCTTAAGCATTACTGCACAGGGAAAAGAGACTAATGGAGAGAGCAATGAAAAAAGAGGAGATGTCTGTGAGGTTGCTGTTGGATGCAGTGATAAAGTAAGTTGCAAGTGAAATAGTGCTCCCATTGACTTCAATAGCACAGGATCAGTCCCTTACATCATGGTTGTAGTAGAGAGGTGTGCAGAGGGTGTATTCTTGAATCATTGCTCATGAGACAGGTGCAATGGCTTAAGGGTAGTCCAGACACTGTGCCACCACTTGACAGGGGTGGAGGACATGTCTCCCCCACAAAGGGCCACCTCTGTTGGTCTGTGTCATGTCATTAGATTATTAATCATGTTTATTCTGGTAGTTCCGAAAGGCCAACAAAGAACGGGGTCCCTTTGTGCTAGGCGCTGTACAAACAAAGCAATAGACAGTCCCAGAAGAGCGTACAATCTAAATAGACAAGATAGAGCCAGGGTGGGATAACACACAAGCACAGTGAACAATGTGACAGTGGCAAATGTCATGTTAGTTCCACAACTTTTCTGGGTGGGTTTACTCAGGTGGGGATAAGCTGAATGGAAAGAAAAGTGAAGGGCAGGGACTTGAGGGGGGACAGAGCAGGGAAGAATATGGTAAGAGGACAGGTATGGAGCAAAGCTGAGGTGAATCCAGCTAGTCGGAGCAGAAGCAGACAAAGAAGGGACTGCTACACTGGGGAGAAAGGAGAAAATGGGGCCCGACCAGGGTCACCCGGGCCTAGAACTATGCAGAGGAGACCCCCCCACACCACACACATATGAACTCACTATGAGGGCACTAGGACTCAGGAGGTGCCAGGGTGGGGCCATGGTCTCGCACTGCCTCTGGTGAATCTTGCATTGCAACGGTGCTAGACTCAGAGTGTTTGTGTCCCCGGAGTCCAAGTACTGTTATTGTACCTGGTCCCTGCACAATGGCATGCAAATGTGGAGGCTCCTTGTGCCCTCTCCCCTTCTTGCAGCCTTCATCCGGGCTGATCACAATCAAACCCAGGATGTTTCAGGCTAATGCTTCCCTCCAACCTCCAAACACACAGAGACATTTCTAGAGAGAAATGCCTTCAGTACCAGCATATTAATGAATGGGGCTCTGCAAGTGTGTGTAGGGAAGTAGCAATCCATTAGGGGAAGAGCTGGGGACAACAGGTCTTGTGTGGCATGTCCCCCAGCAAACGCCTGCAACATCTAGCAGGAAATCCCATCTACTCCTGCTCTGCCCCTCCAGCACTCTCAGAGTTGTAAATTGCCCAATCATGTGAGTTCCCCGCAGTGGCTGTCTTTAGGTATGCAGGACTTTCTCACAGATCTCATGAGATACATGCAGTTGGGTGTCTCCACCTCCTTAGCCCCTGAGAGCTCCATTATGAGCCACACTCTTTCCCCTTCTGAATGTCCTGGGGAATTCTAATTTGCCAACCACAGATACTGGACCAAATTCACCCCTAATGTAAGCAGACACAATGCCAAGGGTGAAATCACCCCAAAACTCCCATTCCTGTTTCATAGTTACAGACCTTAGATCTTGATCATCCATATGCTTCTTTCAGAGCATCCCACAAAGTTATAAAACAGAGAAGGAAGCAATCTCGTCCATGCCTAGTGTCAAGCCCTCTGGCTCCTTTCTATTAACTGACAGCATCACTGAAAACTGTGGTTCTGAGATCTCGCTCCTCAATGGACTATCAAGGCTGAATCAACCTTTTTCTCCCACTGGATACTTTCCATATTACAGAACATATGGAGAACTCCTTATCAGCCCAGCCTCACATGATGGGTTCTCTACCAGCTCTACTGAAGTTCGGGATGATGTTGGCTCTGAAACAGCAGGAAAAGGAAAAAGCAGGTGGGATTTCAGTGGTAGCTGTGCAGTGTGCTGAAAACAAACGATAAATGCCTGCCATCAGCAGCAGCAAGTGATCCAATTCAGGGCAGAAGTCCCAGGGGAAGTTCTTAAAAGCTCTGTCAATGATGCCAGCCCAGTGAAAATCAACATTAATAAAAAAAAACCCCGAACTATAGATGAGAAACTATTATTTTTAAAGGTCTGTAGAGGAAACAGAGGGAGAGAAATTGTAACTAACATGCCTGTATTTTGAGAAATCAGAGGAATTTGATCAAGAACTAGGAAATATGGAGGAGGAGGAGGAAGATTAAAGCTGTGCTCTCTCTGCTGCTAATCCCAAAATAACTGAAGATCAACTCAGAACCTCAGATTGCTGAGAAGAAAGTCTTGGGTCAGTTTGGGGGCAAGATTTGAATCTAAGAACTGTCAACCCACCAATTAGAACAAACCTACATTGCTACCAGTAGTTGAAACAGAATTCCTCTCCCTCTGTCAAGCACTCAGTCCCTGGAAAACAGAGTGGTTAGATATTTACAAAGGAAAAGTGACAACTCAGCACCAAGGGAGATGAATGACCCAGTGGGTATAGAACAAGCCTCCTGAGAATCTCTAATTACAAAAGAGGAAATAGAGTGAATCCACCAATAGCACTTTGGATTTCTCAGGTCAGTCAACGGCTCACTTGGAAGATATTGTTTCAATTCTCATCAATGTACTGACCTACCACTTTCATTGTGATCTGGGCTTTCCGTGTTTAGTATCCCTGTTCAAGGAGAGACTTTCATTCACCTGAGCTTTCCCCTTTCCAGACCCAGTGGAGATCTGGTATGTTATGGATGTGACGTATTTGATCGTTGGTCAAGGTACTTGACACCCAACCAGTCAATTTCATGAGTGATGTTAGCAGCAGCAAAAGAGACTATGTTAATAGTCAATGCCAGGAGAAGAGTGGTAAGACATGGGCCCACTGGAGATGGTGAGAGGGAAAGAATAAGCTTTTCAGCCAGGATATGTGGAGGATTTCACTTGCACTAAGAGAAGAAACATAATTGCCAGTAATAACAGTTAAATAGACTTTCCCTGTCCGCCACTAGGAGCCTCTCCTTGTATAAACAGCATCTGTTATGTTTTGTTCTCTTTCACTGACGCCACATACAGAAGAAAGCATTTTACACTAAAATCTTTGTAAACAAAACTTCATTTGAATATGTCAGTCAGTTTTGTAGCCTTGTTCACCTGCTTAATCTGTCACAAAATAATTCTTGATTACCCTAGAACATGTAAGCACGGACATCTATACTAAATTTTGAATCTGGAAGAAATAGATGTGGTTCAGGTGAAGCTTCATTGATTTACATCAGATGAGGATCTGGCCACATGCATCATTTCCATATTTCTCTGCAATCATGAGTGTTGCAACATATATTCATCACTGCCAAATATATCACCTCTTCTAGACTACTCACACAGCTGGTCAACTATGTCTTTTTTCCATTGTTGCTATGCCAGTGACTCCTTTGTTTTCAGCATAAGTTTGTATTTGTTCCAGCAACTGAATACATCTTTTAAGCATTTACCCTCTCAAAGATCACATAATTAATACTGAGATACACAAATAACTCTCTTGAAATGTCTGGAGTTAAATGAACCATTGTGCTAGAGTAGGCACTGTAGTTTATTTCCTCCTGATGATCAAAGAAGAAAGACACATCTTCCCTTTTAGGTTTTATGTATCCATATGTGGAGTAATCATGAGGTTTCCTACTGTCCTGGTGAGCATGAAACAGAATGCTGGGAAGCTGGAAGCTTCTAAGTTACGTGTTGGTTTGGTAATATTTCCTCCTTGCTCCAGAGTCAGGAGAATTTTTAGTAAGAAATGAGTAGCTTTAGGTTGGACTTGGGTATTGTTCCTTTTTCTTGCTATTACGAGGAGAAAGGCACAAGGGTTAAATTAAAGTTCTATGTTAGCTCTTTGGACATCTGGCAGGATCTTTGGCCCTGACCTGGTTACTTTGAATTGCTCGGCTGGCACAAAGTGACTAAGCAGTTGCCCTAAAGGGGAAGATGAAGTAGGTGAATTAAGTTCAGATGCCTAACGTTCTGTATGAAGAACACCTACAGCACATGGTCACCAGCTCTTCAGTAGAGTAGTTCATTGACAACAATATATGGTTGTCAATCTGTTTTTTGTTCGTTTCCATTTTAACCGGGTACAGTGGAGGCATTTGTTTATGGATGCTGTTCAGACATCTTGTCCAATTTTTGTCTCTTTCACACTAATAAATCAGGAGGTTGGAACTCTTTTGCTCTATGGTTGAACTGAGCCAAGCCCTAGCAGGTAACCTCCATTGCTTTCAACAGTGAGGTCTGTGAATTGGCTGCTAGGAGAGAGTTCTGTAGAAAATATCATGAGATTGTCTTAAGACCAGCAAAAGTGGCACAACATGGAGAGAAATATGGCTTGCAAATAGGCATAACACTTAAAATTCGTTCTAAAAATATTAAGGTTAATTTTTGCATTTCAATAAATCCAGCAGATTAAATAAAGTTAGACTACATAATATCAGCTGAACAAATCCCTCTTGCCTTCTAGTAGGTATGTCCAAAAATAGCTACTCCACATTCCGCTGCACAGCATGATTTATGTGAACAATGAACATTAAAAATCAAGGATTTGGGAGATTAGTATATTACAGTCTTTTCCTTTATGGATCAGAAAAATCTAATTTAAAGAAAATCACCAAATAAATAGTGTATCACATATTCCCATATGTACAACGGAGCCTACCAAAACTCATGACTTTAATATATTTTCCATACAGCTTTGTGCAGGGATAAAAGGGGAAGGATGGACGCCAGTGCTGGAAGTTTTCATTTGTTTTACAGTCTCTAAGGCATATATTATTATATTACTTTTCCACATAGTTATCCTGTACACAGCCAGCAAAATTACTTTCTTCAAATTGTTCCATATATCGGATTGCTACATTGGAGAGGGCATCATGCAGCTTCTTATCGTAGGAAATATCCTATTCAACTGGGAATGATAAACATTTCACTTCAGCCTAGAGTAGTGGTAGTACTTTCTTTCATCTTTTTACTGGAAAAATCCATAATTATTGCTCTAAGCCCTCAGTATTTCACTATTAACTGGTCCTTTAGAGTTTGCAAACCAAACAGCAATTACTTTGATGCACCTCATGTCATTTTCATTGATTTCATTTAAGCCTTTAATCTCATGAATCCACAAAGTTAATTCTTAAAACAAGCCAAACAAGCCTGAACAAAATACGCCGTTTAATAACAAAACCGGTGATGAACATTACCGTCTCTTCAGGGATTTATTGTAGTGCCGCTTCTTCTCGCTCAATAACTCATGTTAGGCTTCATTTAGAAGGGAAGAAAGGACAGTGTCACAATTTTTGTTAATCTACATACTTCCCAGAGGAAAAGTTGGCCCTGATACAATGCACATTGAAGTCAATGGAAAGGCTCCCATTGACTTCAGTGAGCACTGTTTAAGAATGAGATTCAGAAAGCTTTTTTCTAGAACAGTATTCCAGGCCTTCAAGGCCTGATTGAAAGTAAACTGAAGTCAGTAGAAAGTCTCCCATTGACTTCAGTGGGCTTTGGCTCAGGCCCCATGTTGCCACATCAGGTGAGAATGAGAACTCTGAAATGTATGTTTTATCTAAAACCGAACCCCATCAAATGTTGTCTGTTTAAGGAAGTAGGTTGGCTAACTAAATAGATCTATTTAACTGCTGTGGTGGTGAGCACTGCCCCGGGACCCTGATTAGTAAAGCGCTCTCCCCTCCCTGAAATCCTGATTACGTTGATGTCTATGACTTAATAAATTTACTTTGAACTCTGTTGGAAACTAAGCTTTTGGCAAGTAGCACTTATCACAGAGGAACAGAATTCAGCATTAAATAAAGAGGCTTAAACAGGTTTCTTTTTTGCACACGAATATAGGGAAATAGAAATGATTCATTAATAGGAAGTAACTTGGCTTTCATTCAGAATTTTACTTATGGTGAATGATAAAAAAAAGCCTTGAAGTGGTACAGTAAATGTTCAGATTGAAGTACTAGCATCGAGTCCATTTCAACAGTTTATTAGTTTTTAAATGGATTATGCAGTTTGAGTGAACCTACTAATATGAGGATTTAAAGAAGATAAACCTTCCTGCGGAGCAAGCTAGTCTCATTTCATAGTTTTTGTTCTTCAGTTTCCCTAGATTTGCCAGTTTAGGCCCAATTCAGCATGTGCTTCAGGGCTTTGCTGAATGGAGATAGATTTGAGGATGTGCTTGAGTACTGTGCAGAATCTAGGACTTTGCTGAGAATCAGAGGGAAAAAATAAACATGAAAAATAAGGAAGCAAGACATCCAAGCTTCTAAACCTGCTTGGCCTTCTAAACCTGTTTGCTAGCTAGTGTAGTTACTGTTAGTGTGTGGGCCAAGTTCTGCTCTCATTGATATTGGTATAAATCCAGAGTAACTCCATTGCAGTTAAGGGAGTCACACCAGTGCAAATAAATTTGGCCCAAGATCTTTAACCAAGGGATCCTGCCCCCCATTCTATTACCTTCTCCTACATAATCTTGTAATAAAGCCTAGGGACTTGATACACATGCGTGTTATGCATCCACTGGCATGAACACAAGGATTCTGAGAGTGGAAAGTCTGGCTGGAAAGTGTTCTCACAGATCAGTTGGGTGGCTACAGGCTGAAACCCTAAATATAAGCCTATGACTTGACTACAGGATCAAGCTGAACGAAAAGGAAGCTTTGCTGTGCAGGAGAAAGTTTCTATTAAAAGTCATACTTATCTTCCTAGCAGAGGGAACTGGAAACTACTGGCCATGGGCCTGGACCAAACCCACTCACATCAGTGGCTCTGGATCAGTCCCCAAGTAAATCTCAGTTTGCATGAATGTGCACAGCCCTCCCTTTGAAGACCTTGTTTTCTTACAACAGCCTCATTAATTGTGTTATAGGTCAAGGTGACAATGTCTCATTCCAAACAGCTGCCCAGCTAGCACCTGATGTTGAGAATAATAATGACTAATGAATCTTAATCTTTCTTTCACAATTCACTTTCATTAATATTTATATCTGGCAGATGTACCCCCATGGGACTCTTTCAATTGCTAAGTATTAGTATGCTGTGTACGGCTGATATTTTATGCAGCATCTTTCAGGACACGCTGCTAAACAGCCTGCATATTATGTGCCATTGTATTTTCAAGGGATTGTTAATGTTGCCATGTGGTATGCTATAGAAGAATGTCTATTTCAGACATGATCATCTGGCAGAATAAAAAAAACCCTGAACAAAAAATATTTTTAGAAATAAAGACTCTGATGGAGATGTAAGATTAAATGCTTAAACAAAAGACAGCTAGGAGAGGTCGAGGTCAGCTATGGATACATTATTGAGCCCAGTAATTACAGCCAGGTATAATTGAAGAGATTGTTTGAGGCTATGGATTTTAAATGTGTGCCATTTTCCAGTGAGATGTATGCTTTTCACTTGATAAAGAAAAAAATCTTCCACTGAGCTGTTAGGAGAATAAACATTCATTTAAATGATCTAATTGAGCCCTTAAAATTGGGCTGAAGTCTGTTTATGACTAATTCATAATACTGCCTCTTTAGACAAATGATTAATTGGTAATTACGCTAAGAAAACAAATTAATCGTTGTGTTTTGAAAACCATGATCCTCTCTCTACACAGTGAAGCAAACCAGTTGGCTCTGGTCTCTGATTTTCTTAATTTATCTCCACTTAAGAATTTGAGTTCCATTTATTTATTTGGGGAGATCACCTCCTATATCATGTTATGAGCTTCTGCAATAGGAAAACTGACACGCATCTTCTCCTTATTTGACATGGCTCTATTTTGTTCCTTTGGCTATGCTGTCATTTAGAATTGTGCTCTCAAAGCCACCCAAATGAATTAGAATGTTGCAATTACACGGATGTTATCCTGTATGTGCGGTGACTGTAGTAAAGTCAGTAGGTGATTTTGGAATATACATTCTATTATTTGCCTGTGAACTACTAATTTGTAAACACTGGAGTGGTATGCTCAGATTTTCAAAAATAGGTCACTAAATTGCCCCTGCAAAGTCTGTGCATGTGTGGGTGCCTGGGCAAAGGATAACTAGCTGTGTAAATGTGTTCTTGCTATGGCAATTAAATATTTGTGCATGTGACGTGGTGGAACTATTTCTGAAAATCGGGCAAATAATGTCCAGCTCAGGTGAGCATGATCTCATGTGGGAATGTGTGATAAGCACTTTATCTGCAAATAGAGCCTGATTCAAAGATTGTTGTAGTGAATGGAAAGACTGCATTGACTACAGTGGGCACTGGATCAGACTCAAGCTGCTTACTAAAAAAAATAATAATAATAATATTAAATCCAAACTAGCATTATTTCCTTCATTTCTGATTGTTC